TCGTTGTTGACCGAAATTTTGTTTTTACAACGCTTAATTTGGAGAAGCATAATTCGCAAGTGCAGCCTGTAACCGGAATCGTGATGACTTTTATCATCAATTGTTTAAAATTATTAAGTTTCCTCTATAATGAACTAGACCATTCAGAAGGGAGTTGTTCAACGAAAGAAACTCACTTTTTTTTCGTTTTTAAAAGTTGAACTTTTTCCTCCAGTTCTCAGTTCTAAATTTTTCAGTTTTATTAGTTTAAATTGATCTCAGACACATATGAAATCATTTTAATTTAACGAAAATTTCACTTACATCATAAATAATGTTCTTTACTTCTTTTCTTACCCTATCGTATAAAGATTCAGGGATTGCAAGGATCATCTGGTTTATCATAGTATAAAAAACAAAAGAATTTATTTTCTTCTATTTTATCCTTGACTACCAACACCGCATCATGATTATCGTCAATCTTGAAGAACTTTACGAGTTCTTGGTTTCTGAATTTCTATCCCAAGACAATCGCAAGTGTTTTTCTCTAGATTTTACATTATCAACACTTTCTTCTATTTTTAACTCTTCCAGTCTTCCAGTTCTTCCATTAGAAGAATTTTTTACCAAGTAACAAAAAACAAAATTTCTACAATTTTGTACAAATAATACAGTTTGTATTTTGAGAACGATTTCCAAAGTGGAAATTGAAACGTCAATGAACTTATTTTAACCTTTAATTGCGGCTTTTTCTCAATAAAATAGTATCTACTTCAAAATGACATAAGAAAATAGCTTTAGAACAATATTATATTAGTACCTATTACCCAAGGCTATAAAACAACTTTTCACACCATGGAAATATGGAAGAGTGAAATTGATAGACCGGCAATTAGGAGTAGGTATATGATTATTGTCTAACAAATGATAATGGCTATTGTAATCAGGGGCGGCTGGTCCTATGAGGCAGGTGAGGCAGTGCCTCACCAGTATCAATCGACTATTTACGTTCTTTAACTACAATTTAACTTTTTGGAGTTTTCTAAATAACTTTATTTTCATTATGATAAAAAATTAAAATATGTACACCCTGATGTCTTATCTTTGTATATTTCTTTATAATCTACGGGCCGGACAAGGGACAAGCTTAAACCACAAAATATTAAATAAATAACGGCTCCATTTTCCGCGCCAGCAGCTAATATATAATCTGTGCATCTCATTCTCTCTTTAAAAATTATAGCCGAGGCAAGCCTCACGGCATTGCTCTGTCTGGCACATTAGACATCACATTATGTAGCGAAATTCAACATGATTTATTTATTTTCTGCCCACTATTTCACCGAACAGGAGAGGCATGCCGCTCTCGTTTGGTGTAGTTCTTTTAATTAGCAGCTTTGCCGTTTGGGTACAAAGGTACCCAATTCGCTACATTTTTTCCCTCGGGGTATAAAAGTACATTTTAAATAAAACATAGATTTTTATTTGAAAATTGTAACAACATTGTTATGTTGTAGTAGAGTATTTTCCTTTAGTAGATGGTACTATACATATTGTTCTATTGTTTTCCGATTTAACAAAAAATATTTTTTTTCTATGCATTTACCAGATTGGCAACATTGGTACATTTTGGAACATTTCTGCAAAAAGTTAAGTAAGTAGTAGTTAAATTACTTCCTGTTGACCTCTTTGTGCGGCAGGATCACGTTTGACGTATCTCGTGTTGTTTTTCATTAAAAAAACAGTAAGATTACATATGTTATATAATAAGTGCAATTCTAATTAAGTTTTTTTAATAATTTTGGTGGGTTTGTTTTTGTCTGCAGGATTTTCGGTTTTAGTGAAAAATAGATTTAGCACCGAGCACTTCGTCACAACTTTCCCAGGTAAATGTAAATATTCTTAATACTTGTGATCTCGTAAATTTTTTGGTCAATCAGCAGAATTTTTCAAGTCATTCATATGAAGATAAATTATATATAGTTAAAGTCGTAAAACGACCTATTCCAGATTTAAGTAAACATCTTGTTTCTATCGGTGGCGTCGGAAAACCAAATCGAGGATTTCAAAATGCATGGTACGAAAAGTTTGACTGGCTTACGGGTAGTATAACATTAAATAAATTGTTTTGTTGGCCATGCATTTTATTTGCCACAGCTAATACTAGCGACAAAGTTTGGTTCAAAAGTGGTTATACTGATTTGAAAAATTTGTCTCGGAGTCTATTGTTACACAATAAAAGTTCTCAACATATTACATCGAATTGCAAGCTTACTCTTATGAGAAAACAAAAGCAAAATATCGCCACAGCACTAGACAATTTGCGTAAAATAGATATTGAAAATTTCAATGCTAGAGTTAAAGAAAATCGGCAAATTTTAAAAAGCCTTATAGATATTACGTTACACCTCTGTATGCAAGAGTTACCGTTTAGGGGGCATGATGAATCTAATGAATCTTTAAATCGCGGGAATTTCAAAGAGCTAGTTGTTCTTGTTAGTAAATTTGACACTAATTTAAAAACATTTTTAGAACATGATAATGAGTCTAGATCAGTTTTTTCTGATTGTCTAGATCTGATGAAAAAAATTGAGGAAGAAATTTCAAAATCATTATTCTTTTCCTGGCAGGTGGATGAGACTACTGATATAAGCTGCCATTCACAACTAGGTATCCGTTATTTTTCGATACGTAATAAACGATAAACCAGTCGAACGATTCATGGGATTTTACGATGTAAGTTCCGGGCGTTCTGCTCAAGATTTATTTGAATTTTTATCTACCAAATTTCGAAAGTTCAACTTGCATAGTAAATTAGTGGCTCAGACATACGATGGAGCTTTTGTAATGTCGGGAGAAGTGAATGGTCTACAGGCAAAAATTAAATCTATAGCGCCTCAAGCCATGTTCATTCATTGCTATGCACATGTATTTAATTTAGTTTTAAGTAACGCATGCAGTTCAATTCAACAAGTTAAAGTTTTTTTCTTAACCTTATCCGGTTTTTCTTCATATTTTTCTAAATCTACAAAGCGTACCCAAGTGTTAGAACACATTGGAGGAAATCGTATACCTTCTAATGTAGCAACTCGCTGGAATTTTACTTCACGCGCAGTTCTCACAGTTAATAATAATAAGAATAAATTACTTGAGACCTTTGATTTTATTATTAATAGTCGCGATTTTGATGACAAAACAATAAGAGAAGCAGTAGGTTTAAAAGCTTTTTTAGAAGACCCTCAGAACATATTTTTTTAGAAATATTTTCGTTGATTTTTCATCAAACTGATACTGTTTTTTCCATTCTACAAAATAGAAATACAGACATTTACTGCAAAATACCCTAAGTAAAATACGTGAATTTAGGAGTAACAGTACTTATTTTGATACAATTTATGAAAAACTGGATACCGCTGCGTTACACTCGAAACGTCGTCGTAAGGGAGTTGAAATGACTGATAAAACTCAACAATTATGGCAAATTTTTTTTGAAATTCTTGACATTATAGCAACCCAAATAGAGGTTAGGTTTTGCGACGTTGAAAAATTACATTTCTTTGATCTGTTGAATATATCAAAATTTCCCATTTTTGCTAAAGAATTTCCTCATGATCTATTAAAAAACTTAACAACGCAGTATAATATTTTTGATATAAATCAAGTAAAAAGTGAATTATCCGCTATGTACGGGAATGATATAATAGAAAATTGCGCAAGCCCTTATGAAATGTTAACTTTTTTCACGATTATGATTTAAAACTTTGTATGCTAGAAGTTTTTAAATTATTATGCATTTGTGTTGTTTTGCCAGTGACAAGTGCTTCTGCAGAAAGAAGTTTCTCCGCGCTAAAAAGGATTAAAAATTACATCAGAAATACAACTGGACAGACACGATTGAGTAATATGGCAAAAATCTCAATTGAAAAATCATTTGTAAAATCACAGGATGAGAACGTTTTTATAGACGATGTAATAGATCATTTTGCAGAACAAAAGTCTCGCAGAATTCCTTTAATTTATGAAAAACTTTAAATTTTAGAACTCAGTTTTCCTTTTAGAATTTATATTTTTTGAAGTTTTTCTAAAATAATTATAATTTTTAAAAATCGTGAAATAAAAAACCAAAAAACAAAATTTAACCCTTTGTTTAAGTTTATTTAACGTAAACGGCCTCACGTTATGATGTCACAAAATCGACCTTCCGGCTAACATCTTACGACGAGAACGATCAATGGAGATATGCTAGACCGAAGCTTCAACTGAAGGGATATGTGAGAGCGTGAAGAAGATGGTACTAGATTATCAGTCGCCATTTATAACACTTACTAACAAATCTCCCAGATAAAAAGTACCTACTAACCCCCAAAAAAATATAAAAATCCCAAAAAAATTAATAAAAAATATAAAGATTCAAAAAAAAATATAAAATAATAAAAAATTCACAAAAAAAATTATAAAAATAAAAAAAGGCCACGGGAGAGGCCACCTAGATCCTTGAGGCTACAACTTGGCCGCTAACCAAGGTGCAGGCTCGAGGATTAGAGCTCCCTCGTTTTTCGTTCGCTTGTATCTCACGATACGAGATTTCATGATAAACCGGAGTAAGTCGCTTAACGACACCTTGGGTATCATTTAAGTTACATTTATGAGCACCCTATTACACATGGTGCTCATAAATACAGCTCAATCGCAGACTTTTTCAAAAAGCAGTCAGCCCTTATGTTGCACCTTCAATGCACATAAGGGAGGGTGGAGGAGGGCTTAGGAGAGCTTTAAGGTGAGGATGACTTTTGTTGATCCGCGCGCGTATCGTCAGAAGTCCTTCTCACGCCAAGTCATTGTTTGCTGGCGCGAGCAATGCCTCCTTAGCCGGGTATGACTGGAGCAAAGAGAAGCTAACCATAATAATAATAATTTTCCTTAAGTGTAGTGTGCCTCACCATCTTGTACTATCACGAGCCGCCCCTGATTGTAATAGGCACATAGGCTACATGAATTTAAAAATTAGCAAGATAACTTACCCATATTCATCAATTAGTTGAATTTTCTTCGCCGCTCCATTGTGTGCGTAACAATCATTAACGACAATGTCAAATCCATCTACAATACAAAAATTGTAAAGTGTGTATTATTGTAAGTAATCTATTTAACCATTAAACAAGCTGCCTACTTTTAAAAAGGTTATTATATTTACTATAAAAGTTGTTGATTTCAGTTATTGATTTTGCATTGCAAAAAACTATTTATTGACTCACCATATTTGCTTCTCATATAAATCATAAGAGTAAGTGGATCGCCAACTCTCACAGGCTCTGTTACTCTATTACCTGTGGTGCCGTATCCATACCGAATTTCCATGTAACATTCTGGAGGAGTCAGCGTAAACACAACAGGATTACCTGTAGCAACTCTAAAAAACACGTATTGGGTCAATTTTAGGTTAATTAAAAATCAAAGAAATAGAAAAAAAGACCAGTTTAAAGACCAGTTATCCAAAAATACTTTAGGCTATTTTTTATTAGCACTCTTTGAAATAAAGTCATCAAATAAGTTCTAACATTGATTACTTAAACCATTAAAAAATCGTAAGACGCTTATAAAAAATAATACAATAAGTTCATTAAATGAATGAAAGAGCAAAAGGTAACAGATACAGATGAACGAGTTGTGCTTGTTTACCTTCAGAAAATGTCAGAACAATACACGCCTTCGACTATGTGTGCTCTCCATTTGAACTTGCAAAGTATATTCAGGATAAACAAAATGGTCGATTTAAAATCATTTGTGAAAGTGCACACATTAGGAAGAATGACGACTGCAAGAAGGCGTATGTATTCAAGGAAGACGATTTGTGGAAATTTTTCACAGATGCTCCGGACATTATGTATTTATTTTTTAAGGTGGTATCCATTTACAGTTACAGTTTCTTTGGATCTTGCAGAAGATGTGGATTGTGCGATGTACGCTTATATGTACGCCTGCGAAGATGCCGCAGAGTAACAAGAATGGATAGGAGAAGTAATGACGAAATAAACCAAAGAACATCAATAGAAACAGACATACTAACATATATAGAACAAAAAAGACTAAAGTGGTAGGGATATGTAAGAAGAACTAGCGACAACAGATCGATAAAGGGAATAACCGAATTGAGCCCCATAGGAACGAGGAAAAGAGGACGACCCCGAATATCCTGGAGGAACGAAGTAGAAGACGCCATCAGTAAGAGAGGCCTAAACGATGAAGAATGGGACAACATAGAGAGGACAACATTTAAAATATTAAGTTTTTCAAATATTTGACTAAAAGTTTTAAAACATTTGTTAGTAAGATTTTATTTATGTGACGTTACACAGTATGTACTCCTGCCATGTCAGATCAATATTTAAAACTGTTTATGTTGCCATGGTAACTTTAAAACACGCGCGTTTTTGAAAGTTGAATTGAAACATGCTGAGGCGTACTTTAAATAAGCAAAATGTTTTCTGAATTTCTCTTTAAAAACAGTTTCTAAATTTACTTTTACATATCTAAATTTTCATACTACTATGTCTATTATTAACTTACTCAACGTCCAGAAACGGGAAAGTAACGGTTTTCCAGAAATCATAGCCGTATTCACAGGTAACTTTGAAGTGTTCGTCGTATTCTTCTTCTATTAATGGATTGTATTGAACCGTGATCGTATTCCACATAAAATTTTTCTAAAAACAATAGTAAAATCAATTATATTATATCATAGCACAAACAATGAATAAGGGTACATAATAGTCCAGTCATCAAAGATTTGATCTCTAAAAACATGACGAACAATTTTAGAACAACAACAACGAACAACATTTTGGAATTTTGGTGAGAATGCCAATTTTGGGACCACAAAAAAGATGCAAAAATGTTTCTCATTCCTCTCCGCGAAATTCCCCCTAAAACGGAAAACATCCATAACCCCAGAATCTGTACGCCGCGCAGTAGAAAAAAAAATGTTTCAAACAAAAATTCAAACATAATCAAAAACTCATACAATGAGGACAGTTACTTTATGTTAAAGTCAATAATAAAAAAAACAGAGCAGGTGAAGATGTTTATAAGGTTGAAATGTATAGGATGGTTACAAGGATGTATATTATTATGTCTCATATTTAATATTTACTAGACAGTTATATGCAGCTATAAAGCAGCTGGACCAAATCGTTATTGAGGCAGTTAAAGTAGGAGGAAAGACAGTATTGAAAGCATTGACACAATTATGTAACTTATGCCTTTAAAAAGAGGTTACACCATCTCAGTGGAATAAAGCTGTTATAGTAGTCATGTACAAAAACGGAGATATAACAGAGCTAAAGAACTATAGACCTATTAGCTTGTTATCTCACGTTTATAAGTTGTTTATGAAGATAATAACTAATAGGTTGACATCAAAACTAGACTTCTATCAACCTTGCGAGCAAGCAAGATTTAGAGGTGGATACGGAACAAATGATCATTTGCAAACCATTAAGTCGTTAATTGAAAAAACCATTGAATATAATAGACCCCTGATACTTGTCTTTGTCGACTTTGAAAAAGCATTTGATACGGTTAATTAAAGTGAAATGCTTCACGCTCTAACACAATGTAGAATAGATCACTGATACATATCCCTCATCAAATACATCTACCAGCTTGCTACAGCCTGTAAAGACTTAATGAAGATACTGGGACCTTTCGTATTGAAAGATGCGTTCGGCAAGGAGACAAAATGTCTCCTAAATTATTTACAATTTTGCTAGAATACGCTTGTAAAACAATAGATTGGGACGAAAAAGATATCATTGTAGATGAAAAATTTTTAAATAATCTTAAATTTGCAGATGATATCGTTCTTATTGTAGACAGCTTTGATCAGGTACAGATAATGCTCCAAGAACTCCATACTGCCACAAAAAGAGTTGGTCTTAAAATAAATTTTTCAAAAACACAATTTATGACAAATTTAGTCCACAACAAAAATATCTCTTTTATTTTTAAATATTAGTCTTTTGATTTTAAAAATATCTCAGTAGAAGACAAAGATATTGAGCCGGTTGACTCCTATAAATACTTCTGCCATGAGATCAGAATAAGTCGAAACAACCAAACAATCGAGCTGAAAAGAAGAATAAACCTCGCTTGGGCTGCATTTGGAAAGATGAAGGATATTTTTAGGTCTAAGATTCCAATGTGTCTGAAAAGAAAAGTATTTAATCAGTATATTTTGCCAGTGACGACCTATGGCGCAGAATCCATAACACTGACAAGAACAACAGTGAGTAAACTACAAGTTGCGGAAAGGGTAATGGAGAGAATAATGTTAGGGATTTCTCTACTTGATAGAATACATAATGATAACATACGCAAAAGATTAGGAGTAGCAGACGTTATTGAAAGGATAACAACACTGAAGTGGAACTGGGCAGGTCATGCAGCAAGATCAGTTGATGACCGGTGGACAAAAAGAATTTTGGAATGGAGACCCCGAATAAAAACTAACAGAAATAGAGGTCGACCCCCAACGAGATGGACAGATGACATAAAAAGAGTTACTACAAATTGGATTCAGGTGGCGCAAAATCGGACTGAGTGGAAAAGCATGCGAGAGGCCTATGTTCAGCAGTGGACGTTAGAGGCTAGTTAATGATGATGATGATGATGAGACAGTTATATCTATGTAGCTCTAGAACAAAGTTTAGAAGATACTGTCATTTTTAACGATACTTCATAAAGGCTACTTCACAAATGTAAATATACAAATAGCGAAAGCAAAAGAAAATATGGCCTAGAAGTCAACAAGAATAGGACAAAGTGGTATACAACTGATTCTATTTACTTTAGTTTTAGGTATTGACTAAATCAACGGCGGACTCAAATCAAAATCAAAAAGTTACACAGCACAACGCAAAGAAATTTAAAAAATTAAAATACATTATGAAATGTAAAACCAAATATAAATGACTCTAATGTCTTCTGCAAGGAAAAGTGCTCAGTAAGAAAAGCTTTGGAAGAAAAGGAATTTGAACGGGTGGTTTAAAACATCCACCACGAGTCTCTTACTCAAAGTAAGTATTATGGCAAATAAAATTATTGTTCACAGCCTTACCAACTATTTTCATAACATACATTTTATTACAATTTCATCATCATATCCAGCTAACCGTATAATTTAATGATAGACATATTTGTAAGATATTAGTTGTTTGTTGGTGTTTTTTTCAGAGCCCAATAAGCAATAAACACAAAAAATATAAAAAGAAGCACGTACTGTAGGTGTTTTCTGATTCTCATCATTGTGTGTATTCTTTCCCAACGTGCCGCATCTATTTAGCTGGATGAAGAATTCGTAGTAGTCTCTACCGGTGCCATTGATATACATACAATCAGGATCATAAGCATACCCTAAAACAAATATGAATTAGTAATATATTAAAGAATTTTAACACGAATAGAAAGACGGTATTTGATTTAATTTCAATACACGGCATCTGCCATTCGCTTATACGTATTTCAACCTCATTAAGTATCATCAGAGCGTGATATGCAGAGGCGCTGAATGGAAATTAAATCTCTCCCGTCATAGTACTTACAATAATTATAAAAATAATTATTTACAGATGTTACAACGCCATCTAATAACAACGTTAGAAATCATAAGATCTCCTACTTGGCGAAACGATATTCAAATTTTTACCACTGCGCCTTCTACAACTTTCAAAGCAGATAAATTGATAAATGATTGAATGAATAGTGAATTTCTTAATAGTTTGAGTATGGTGTTATTTATAAATATTACAGAAATTTAGACGAAAAAGAATTTGACTCTATAAAAAACTGGGCAATTATCAACGCTTTAAACTACAACAAAGTTGATGGTCGACAAATAAAACTCATTCTTGACACAAAAAAGCATTAGTGTGATTATAAGATTGTACGCACGAGTACACAAGAGAACTAGAGACATACCATAAACCAGATGGTCCAGTAACATCAAACGAGTTGCTGGCCACGAAGGGAAAGAAACAACCAATACAAACGAATGGACAACTTTTATTGCTAAGTTATAGGGATAATACTCAAAAATTATTTACAAAATTTAGATTATAATCAGGCTATAAAAACCGCAGGAAAATTTACAATAAGCTGCAATTAAAACGTTTAAGTGTATACAAAGTGGCCCAAAAGTCTGGGAAACGGCCAATTATCTCGTTATAATTGTACAAAATTTGAGGTACACCTATTTTCGGATACAGAGATTCCATATTTGAAATTTGCAATACTGCCAGATTTGCCGTTTCTCTTATATTACTAATTACTTTGGTTATTCAAATTTATCACCCTGTATATTCAGTCTCCTATTTAATACGAGTTCAACCATATCTGGAAGGTCTTAAATACATAAAGTAGTGCAAAATATGTAGATTTTAATAAATTAAAATATTTAAATGTAGAATGCTGTGATTTTGACATTTTTTCACCATTTACATTATTAACTAAAGCTGACAGTAATTGTCTTTCGAAAATGTCTGCAAGATAAATTGCTTCTCTAAAATGGCCCTTAAAGAAAAAGAACGAATTGCTATTCTAATGATGAGAGTGTACAGTGACAGAAAAAGATCTTATTGTAAAGTAGCCAGCTTGTTCAATGATACATTCCCAAACCGATCTCCTATTCATAAGGCGATGGTACAAAAAAATGTAAAGCGATTTGAGGAATCTGGAGAAGTAAAAGATAGATACCGATCAGGTAGACCGAAAAGAGGTATGAATGATAATAAAAATTACCATCAATACTTGGGAGATACTAAAAGTAACCAATAAAAGTTAGGAAAATATGAACTAATCTTATTAAATTTATCATTAAGTAGATTAACTGCGAACGTTGCTGGATTTCTCATAATGAAGTCGATTTAAGCCAAGCGTATAGCTTTATTTGGTCTAAATAAACACAAGAAAAGCTATTAAAATCGAATTAAACTTACCAGCAGAATATACAAGACCTGTGAATGATCCATTAAAGCCAACACGAATTTTCATGTAATCATCCTGACATTCTGCTTCAATATCTAGAAAATAATGATTAACATATTAGTTACTTACTTATTATGAAATTATAAACTATTGGTTTTGATAGATTTTTTTTTTATTTTTTATTCATATGATTTGATTATTGGTACCAAACGCTACTAAAATATTTCTAATATTAATAAAAGAATAAAATAAACACACTTTCTTCTTAATTGGATAAAAATACAACGAACCTATGTTCAAATAACAGAAAAAAGAATACCCAGCCTATGGGAAAACGCCGAAATAATACTTTTACACAAGAAAGGAGACACTACTAATATTGAAAACTACAGACCTATAAGTTTGTTGTCACACTTATACAAATTGTTAACAAGAATAATAACCAACCGCATAACACAAAAACTTGATTTATATCAAGCGGTTGAACAGGCGGGATTTAGAAAAGGGTTTGGTACTAATGATCACTTACAAATCATCAGAACACTAGTAGAAAAAACCACAGAATATAATGTACCTTTACATATGGCATTTATCGACTTTCACAAGGCTTTCGATAGTATTGAGACTTGGTCCTTTTTGTCAGCCCTGAAGGATGCTCGAATAGACTCACGGTACACTACACTCATTAAAAACATTTATGAACAGGCCACATTCCACATCAAAA